CTCTAGAGCAAGCAGGTCAAACTCAAAGGCTAAGACAGGTCAAATAAATGAGGCATGTGGCCCGTGGGCCGTGAGTTTGACCTGCTTGCTACAGAGACTCTTCACCTCCCTCTTAAACACAAAAGGATGCTTGTCTTCTTCCAGGTGAAGCTCACTATTCCAGACACGAGCTCTTTGAGAGCAGAAAGAATGTCCCCAGGCAGCCTCTGCCAAACACAGGGGTGAGGAAAGAGGGGTTCAGGGATTCCACATCTATAGTGGCATCTGCCTCCCCTTCAACAGGTCCACATCCTTCTTTGCTCTGTCCAGGGTTATGCACTATATGCTGTGGCCGAGCCAATGGCAGAGGCTTCGCCCTTTCCTCCCAGAGCCCAGTGGCTCTTATGAACATTTATATGCAAGTATTTGTTTGAATACCTGTTCTCAACTTCTTTTTCAAAATAGTTGGCAAATACCCTTAGCCTGCTTACCTCCCCCTTCTTCCATCCCGCTGCCCGGACTGTGGAGGGATATGAACAGAGCTCTAGTGGTCATCCTGGACCATGCGTGCCCTGGGAACAGCAGTGTGGGCACTGCACGGTCCCGGGCTGCCTTTTCTGCCCAGAACTGCCTACATCCACACCTGTTATGTAAGGAAAAAGGAAACATCTATCTCATTTATTTCTCTAAGCCATTGCTATTTGGAGCTTCACTGTCATTCACATATACCTGATGATGTAACCCCCCAACTTATTCTGGGGTCCACCTTTGGCAGGGGTAACATGAGAAGCGCAGAACAGAGTCCAGACTGTGAAAGGGAGTGACTAGTCAGCTGTCTCAGTCCTTATCGGCTTGACTCTGTAATTGAATCACCTACAGCAGACAGGTAAGTGGGACTGGGCTGTGGGTGAGTGACTGGGGTTTTCGCCTCCTCTTCCTGGGAGGACCACAGCATAGAGTTGCTGGCAGATGGCCCAACATGACATAACTGATACTCCAGTGGCTGGTCTCCCCCACCTGCCCAGACCTTATTCCCTGTGTCTCTTCTCTAGGCAAAGGCGTATTTGTATCTTACAGATTTCTAGAGTTGATGAGGGCTGATAAATATATTAAAAATCCAGCCAAGTGTCTTCAGCATTTTTAGGGACCACGTTAAGAAATACATTTCACAGTGTTTCTCTACAGGGGTCTATACCTGACGTGAAGTTTCACAGAACAACACGAACTCCTACTGCCATTTTCCTCTTCCACTTCATTTTAATTGCTGGTCATAATCCACTAAATGATTTTACAACCTACTAATGGGTGACACATGGCAGCTTGAAAAACAGTGATATAATCCCATATTCCCATATTACAGGTAACAAAACTGAGACCCCGAAAGGGGAAACCATCTGCTGAGGTTACCAGGTGGGGGCGGGGGTTAGAAGCAGAGCTTGGCTCAGAATCCGGGTCTTAGATCCTGGTAACTGAGGGTCTATGAGTCATTCTCAATGCCCCCTGAGCCCGTGGAACATCTCCAACTCCTGGCTGGCCCCACCACCAGCCCCAAGAACAGGTGCTTTCCTCTCCGCTCTCACTTCCTTCTCTCTTGGGCCTGTGCCATTCCCTTTATCTTTCCCCCACATTCAGACATTTGCAATCCCTGTGCAGCACACGTGGTAGGATTGCTTGGTACCCAGTTGGAGAGAAGCTGGGGGTTCCGAGAGTGGCTGAGTGAGGGGCCGGTCAGGCTCCTGGGATGAAGTGAAGGACCCTGGACTGGTTGTCTGGAAGGCTGAGGCCTTAGGCAAGGTCTCAGTGTCCCCGGAACATACTTTCTCCATATGTAGAAGGAGAGAGTGAAGCCTGCACATCCTTGTGGGGTTAGTATTCAGATCCAACATGTACTCATCACTAGCACCTGGACCTCCAGAAATTGGGGGTGCAAGTCCCCTGGGGTCCCACACATAATGACAAAAGCAACACAGGAGGGTTTGAGTTTTTTGGGGGGCTGCCATTGAGGACGTCCGCTCTGCCAGGCGCTGTGCTAAGCATTTTACTTGCATTATGTCCAAAACCCTATGAGATATTATTCCCACTTCACAGATGAGGGATTTGAAAGTCCAGTCAGGTGACATCACTTGCCGAATATCACACACTCAGGCAGAGCCTGCACCCAAGCCCAGACTGGAAGCCAGTGTTGTCTGACCACATCTGACTCCAAGCTGCCACCCTGCAGCCAACCGAGGTGGCTGGGGTGGCCATGACTTGGCATGGCTCCAGGAAGCTGCCAGAGAGAACGGGCCACTCACAGCCCACGGCCTGTCTCAACATAACATGGTCAGGGGGAGAGCAGAGGAAGGAAGAAGGACTCCTGGACAAGTTCATTTAAGAGAGCTTGACTCAGACCCGTGGTTACTGCACCTGAGAGGCACCTGGGGAGTTTGGATGGGCCTGAGCCCCACCCAGGACCAGTTAAATGAGAATTTCTGGCTTAGGGACAGCATTCGTATTTTTATTTTGAACTCTCCTGGTGTTTCTAATAAGCACCCAGGACAGAGAATGACTACCTTAGGTTGATATATCGTTTTACACTTATCAAAACTCTTTCACATTAATTATCTCACCTGAGCCACATAGCAATTCTGGGAGGAGGTGGGATGGGGTGGGGACCGGGAACTCACTGCCTCCTTTTTCCGCAGGAGGAACACTCTTTGTGAGCCCATCTCTCAGCCCCGACCACAGACTTTGGGGCAGCCGTGGGCAAACTACGGCCCGCGGGCCGGATCCGGCCCGTTTGAAATGAATAAAACTAAAAAAAAAAGACCGTACCCTTTTATGTAATGATGTTTACTTTGAATTTATATTAGTTCACACAAACACTCCATCCATGCTTTTGTTCCGGCCCTCTGGTCCAGTTTAAGAACCCATTGTGGCCCTCGAGTCAAAAAGTTTGCCCACCCCTGCTTTGGGGCCTCATTCCTGAGCGACAGGGAAATACTTTCCTCCCTTCGGCTCACGCCCCAGCGGCATGTGGGCCCTGGGGAGGAGAGTGATGCCCCGCCCGTGGAGGAGTACGGCCCAGCGGGGTGGAGGCACGGAGGACAAGTTATCCGAGGTGAACAAAAACAGCTCACTGGGGACCTGGAAGTGTGAGGGGGCTGGCAAGGAGGCAGGGGAGCTCTTTGTGGAAGAGGTTCCCCTGAGAATTGCCCTCGATTCGAAAATGGACTTCATCTCATAGGGTTTTTCTTTAGGCTTTATGAAAAGTTCCTCCAAATGAATGAGTTGTGTGGACTGAGCACCTATGAGGTGGGCTCCGCAATAACCCCGTTTTAGAGATGAGGAAACTGAGACACTTCGGTTGAGTAACCTGTCCAAGATCACTCAGCGAGTGGGGGACTGAGTGGAGAGTCAATCCAGGCTCGTCCCTGGACGTGTAGTTGTAACCCGTGGGCTCACCCCCCGTCTGTACTGATCCCAGGTAACCGGTGGAAGCACGGGCAGCCCTCGTTCCAGGTGGATGCAGCTGCTGGCAGGTCTGTGTCCGCTGACCTGGGAGCAGCTGCTGCCCCAGAGGAAAGAAAGCAGGTGGGACTAGGGTGGGGAGGGGGGAGAAAAGGCAGCGTGTCCCATCACAAACGCTGAGTGCCTGAAGCCATGAGCCTCCGAGCCCAGGGCGCTCTCTCTGCTTTCAGAGCGACCACAGATCTTGCTGGGGTTCAGGCCCCACTGAGCCAAGAAGCTGTAGCCCAGTGTGAGGAGGACCGGGGTCCCTCCTGGATTCCAGGCCAGGAGGAGGCAGGACCCCGAGAGAAAGAGCCGCTATGCCCCAGCTCCCAGGAGAGACGTTTTGTGGCAGACCCACGGCCTGGAATGGTCCTCGCTGATTGAGGAACGAGGCCCGAGAAGGGAAGTCTCTGCAGCCAGGCCAGCACTCTGCCCAGCAACATAGTCGGCAGCGAGCCTCCTGCCCCGGCGGGGAGGGCCTGGCCTCTCGCAGGCAGGGCCTGAGGTTCGTGTTCGAACCCTGAGAGCTCTGCCTCCGACCCGGGGCCTCCGAGTGGATGTGGGGATGGGGAGCGAGGCCTCCACTCCACAGGGAGCCCAGGGTCTGTGCTCACGGCCTGCATTCCCGTCCACCCTGGGGCCTGGACTCAGCGGGCAGCAGACAGAGGGTGCCACGTTGCAGGGCCGGGGGAAAGGGGTGCCGGCTGCCCTCAGTTGAAAATCCACAGGTACCTTTGCACACAGGGATTCCCAGCTGAGGAGCTGAGCCTGCACAACTCAGGTGTGAGAGTTAAGAAAATCTGCGATCAGTGGACCCCGTTCAGATGCGTGGTGTTCAAGGTCAACTGAACTTCATGCAGAACACTGGCAGGCCCTCCTGCACCCCCACCGCCCCACCCATAGCTCAGCTGCCCTCTCCACCAGGAGGCAGTCACCGAACCCCTGCTGATTCCAGCAAGAAGCTTAAATTGGGAACTGGACACAGTTCTCTCCAACCTACACACATTGACCCATAGTCCCCTCGGTCGCACCTGCTGACCCACCCACCTCCCTTCCCCGCTGCCCAGAACACTCCTCATGCCACAAACTGCTCCTGACCAAGCACGCCAGGCAGAGACACAGCTCCTTGCACATGGACCCATAGTCCCCTGGGTCGCACTGACCCACCCACCTCCCGTCCCCGCTGCCCAGAACACTCCTCATGCCACAAACTACTCCTGACCAAGCACGCCAGGCAGAGACACAGCTCCTTCATCTCCGCCTCCCACTGCGCCCACTGCGGCCCCTCTCCCTGGGTGTCCAATGAATACTTTCATTCATTCCAGAGGCCCTGATTGAGCACTTTGTGGCTGAGCGACCAGGAGCTGAGCTAGGAACTGCATGTTGGCAAACGGAAGGGTATAAAGATTCTCTGGTCTGTTCCCCGCCTTTTTAAAAACTTATTTCCTTCCAACCAGCCATTGTCTATGTTGGGTTGTGACCTCAGAAGGTCTCTGGTTGGTTTAGATGTTGAGCTCTAAGAGGTTAAGACCTCCTGACTCACAGGCACTGGCACACAAACCGGGCTCACGGCAGGCAGCACAGCGGCGGGCCCGGGGCTATCCACCCACCCACGGCCCACGCCCGGCACTGGCCCCAGGCGGTGAGCACTGCTGGGGCCCATCGCTCTCTGTCCCTGGCTTCTTCTCAAGGTGAGAGTCGTCAGGACGGGAGGGAACCTGAAAGTCCACCTATTTCAAGCCCTTCATCTTACAACCGGAGCCCGAGGCTTGGTGCTGGCAGGGAAGGCGGAGACTGCTGGTAGAGCTCAAGTGAGGGACCAGCTCTGCTAACAGGACACAGTGGCCAGGGTGCTGCTGGGACCGGGTCTGGGCTGTGCCACCCACTTTCCGAGTGATCTGGTAAGTCTCTAGCCCTTCCTGGACTGCCTCCTCCCCCTGGGGGAGGGCGATGGCCTTGGTGACAGCTGACATCTCCTTCTGCTACAGTCGACAGGATCCCGAGCTCCTCTCCTTAGCAACCCAGCGTGTTGCCGCACGTTCGCTGCAGGAAATGTGGGTGGGGGGTGGTGTCCATTTTGCTGCCCTGTCCTGATCGTGGTGATTCCTGAAGGAACCAGCATTCACCTTTTGTACGATGCTCAGCGATTTCTTTGGCAAACCTTCCTGAGGCCCTAACCACCATTCACGATGTTTTACAGGCTGGGTTCATGCCTTTTTTGGGGTTTGGCGAGGCACTAGGCCGAGCGCCCAGGATGGCGATAGTCAGCATGCCGCCTAGCGGGGGGCTGTCCAGTAAGAGCCCGGATCCTCTGTAGCGACCGCAGAGCTCAAGGACCTGCACGCCTTGTGGTTCTTACCCACCCGCCTTCCCTGGCGCTGCTCCTAGGGAGCCTGGCACACCTGCCTCTTCTGCTACTGGGAGGTTTCAGCTCATCAACTCGCGTCCAAAGAGGCTGCCGCTGCTTCCGAGTGTGTGGTTTACTTAGAAGCATTCCCGTGCTGCTGCTGGCTTCTTTTAAATCAATTTACAGGCTGTCACGCGCTCACTGCCTTGTGGCTCTGAGATGTGCTTTTCTTTGCCTGTGTTACTGACAGCTGGTAAAAGTGCACCGAGAAACACGGGAAGCAGGTACCAGCTGGCTTGACACAGCAAAGCTTATATCCATCTGTCTACAGCAGTGGTTCTCAACCTTGGCTGCACATTAGAATCACCTGGGAATCTTTTTAAAATCCTGATTTCTGGGCCCCATGCTCCAGAAATTCTGTTTCTTTGTTATGGGGTGGGGCCACAACATTAG